TTTACAAGGGTAAATCGTACATGAACAGTCTTGGATGCCTGAAAATAATGAATGAGGTAAGTTAATCAAGTTGATTGGGCAAAGTGAACAGCTTGATTTTCTGATACAAATACTCACACAAAAAAGCGTGGTTAAAAAAATAGGATGGTTTTTAGATAAAAGTTGTTCATCCTCTATTTTGTCTAACATTGGTGTATCAATAGATTACTGGCAACAATAAAAAAAAAGTAGTCAGAAAAAAAATTTTGGAGAACGAATATCGCAAAACTATAGGAAATCGAAGAAAAATAATGATTAACAATTGGATAATTTGATTCGAAATTTTCAATTGCTTAGTCTCAATGGTTAATGAGCTGCTAATATATGACTAATCACACAGACTTAATTCGTGAAACAACATTACTGTCGATCCACTGGGATAAAGTTTACGGTTAATTCATGGGCAATTTGATTGGACGATATATTTTTTTGTATATAATTTAGGCCTAATAAGGACCAACATATATCAAACTGTACTCTTGAAAAGAGTTTAAAAGAGGTCAGGATATCTATTTGCATTAAGCGAGAATACATATTGATTTAATAATATAGTGAAAGTTAAGAGTTAACTTACCGCCGTATTCTTTAAGGTCCCACACTTGCGAAAGATGAATCTGTTACCTTTTCATGTTGCATCGTTAATTCAAAAGATCTCTAAAATGAAGCTATTGACAGACATTTTTTCCATTACAGCTCAAGTCGAAAGCCTCAACCTATGAACCCTCTCCTGAAGGTCACTGGTCCAAGAACTTTGCTGCTCTCTCAATACATCGTCGTAAGGACTGGGCCGTTACAGTCAAAGGTTTCAACAGGTTTGTCTGGGACTTTGAGGGCTCCACAAAGAAGAAAACACCAGAAAATGCCTTTGGTACCTATCAAAGCCATGGTTCAATGTTGATAGCAAATAGTGAAGAGGCGCTAAAAGCTCACGATATAGATAACGGATGGGACTGGACAAAGGTTCCTGGAGCAACGACGATGACTTTGACACTATCGCAAATAAGGCTCAAAAAGGCACGAAATTTTAGTCCACTTTCCTATGCTGGCGGAGTTACCTATAAAGGACCACAGCCTTTATCCAGCGGAGTATTTGGAATGGACTTTCATCAACCAGAATATCAATTTTTTGACGAGGATCATCCGCATCCTAAAGTTAAGCTTCACTTTAAGAAATCTGTCTTCTTTTTCCAAAATGTTTTAGTTTGTCTTGGAAGCAACATTAAAATAGATAATAGCGGAACAGCAACTAAGGCGCGAACGACACTGTTTCAAGACAAACTGGTTAGAGGTGCATCTAAATTTTCCATCAAAATGGATGGCGTGACCAAAGACAGCTCAGATCTATTCGAAGCTGTAAACCCCCTTTCTAAAAACAAGAAAGATGGCTATACTACTTTAGTCGACACCAAAGGCAACAGTTATTACATTCCAAGATCGAGTGCATCTGATCTCAAGGTACATGTCCAGATTCAAAATTCGCAAACTGTAGCTGCTGTCTGCTCCAGCGGTATTTATGCAACAGCCTGGCTAGAGCATAATTCCACGAATGCCAAGTACGAGTACGCTATATTTGTAAAAACAGACTCTTACAGAAGCACTGCCACCGCTAACTGGGATCGCCTACACATGAATTCAAATCGGGTGCTGTACTCGGTTCTGCAACAAGACGATAAGGCACACGTGGTACAATTTGGTATATCACCACAACGTAATGCCATCATAACACCATTGTACGGTTACGTAATCTTTGATGCCACGTCAAAACTCCCCAAGGGTGGTTTAATCACAAAAGTGACCAAGCAATGTCGCATCATGGTCGAGCAGAATTCCCGATCCGTCTTTTTAAGCATCAGCTACCCTGACTTGAATTTCAATGTCGACGGGGAGCTGAAAACGTCAGGCGACGTCAATAAGGAGGAACTCTATGAGCTAGAAAGTCGGGAGGTGGAAATTGAGGTCACCTTGTCAGTGGATGTGAAAACAACCCTCTCTGATTCAGCGGTTATCGTACATGGATCTCCTGCCGGGTATCAACCGAGGGTTGAAGTAAAGCGTCTGGCTTCCTCCCCTCCCCCAGGAAAAGGAAAGATAATTGTCTTTAAAAATCTCAAGAATGGATTCAGCGTTGAAGTGAAATTGGAGAAATAACCTGATATGGTCTAAAAAGACTTCCAAAAGATTGCCTTGGTCACAATTGGTTTGTTTACTTGCTCATACACTCATATATATCCTTGCTCTTTATATTCATGCTATAGAGAATTAATTTAGTTCAATGACGATCGCCACATATTGATCCGGATTGAAGTAATTGTATTAAGAATTACGTGGATACGTAATCTCACATTGTAAATAATAAACGGAGCGGTCTGAAAACTGTTTTGTATTCGTCTCGTTACTGCAGTTGCGTGTTTATAGGAATCGAATTTGATTACAAGAGTTCATCCACGATAGCGTTTTCCCTTGACCCAATTTTGGTGTTTTAGTGTTTAGTCGCAGTCGAATAAATTTTTGTTGCGAGCTATTGTTTATGAGAAAGAGGAAGCAAAACGAAATCAGCCGAAATTGCGTTCTGATGAAAGTGGGAAAACCTTTAAAGAAACAATCCGAAAGGTTTATGTATCTACAAAAGTTCAACTAAGTTTTAAGTGCTCACACGTTTGAAATAATACATTTTGCAAGGCAGACAAAAGTTATTTACGATCCAATATTCAATTTTTAAATATTTCCGTAATCGCGGCTAATGTAACTCCAGCCTTTAAGCTGACGCCATGAATGGACTTGACTTACTTTGTTTTCAAAAAACAATAAACAGTACAATTTTTATTATTTGGGCAAATTATTGCACAGTCATATGCTCCCTACCAATCGGATAAACTGGATTATGCTGTCTCAAGTCATGAAGCTCCATTATGCTGCGAACAACTTCTAAGTCGCACCTCTGCCTCTATCCTATTTCCATGAAATTAACGTATCGCCTAAGAAAGTGATGATCACGATTTTGAAAAAAATGTTCACGAAAACTTAGATTCAAAGTGCTCTAACCTGCTTTAGGTGACTTCAGTGATAAGAATGAATTATTGCAAGAGGAAAAATTTCCCAACAAGTTTGTAACCTTATCTCAAATACAGTTCACAGTGGTAACTCGCCAACTGACCAACTCTAACGTAAAATATTTTCAGTCAATAGACCATTCCAAAGTCAGTCTTTAAAATAAAAGTTCGTTGAATTTACCTGAAAAATTCAAGCCATTCTCATTTCAACTTTTGCAAAAAAAATTAGTGAGAGTCGTCTGTTTTTTCGGAAAATTAAAATTTCCTCCATATCAAACCAAATTCTCGTTCATTGTCTCCTCAGTGCCATTTTACAAACAGACGTGGACAATGATTTTTTTTCTGTATGGAATTATAAGTAGAGCTGTCCACTTACGAGAGTGACCGTAAGCAAACAGTTGACTGTAATCGCCTGGTTAAACAATATCCGTAAAAGGAGGTCAAATATTAAAAGAGTGTCATACGCAGTAGAAACATATACACCTTATTAGATGGTTTAAGATGTAACACGCGCGAGTATTTTAAGAGTTGCGCAGTAATTTTTAAAGCCCCGTAGGGGTGACGATAAATGCAAACAATGAGACCAATAGTTACTGCCTTGTATTCAGTAGAACCGTCGAACAAAGGTTTCATTATTCTACTATCATTTCTAGTATTATGGCGTTTAGTTTCCTAAATACTTTCGCGGCTTTATCAGAGCATCGTATCGATCAAGTACGGCGTGGACTAAAGAGCTAAACTACAAGAGCGAAAATTGCTAAGTGTTCTCTTTCACAAAAAAGAAAAATCTGACGCGTTCAAATTTCGTTGATTGAAAAGTCATGCCTGAAAAACGGGAATGCAAATAATGTTAGAGTGAACAGAGAAGGGACTGTAAGTAAAAGTTGTCGCGATGATTACTCATAGGTAAGTTCTCCTGCTAACAATCAGAAGCAGACAGCCAATCTTCACTAGAGAGGCTTTCCTGCATTTGAAATACGATCATCTGCCGAAGTCTTGCAAGTGTGCACTTATCCTTCTCAAATAAAATTCAAAGACCGAACTACAGAAATGATAACTCACCAACCCAACTCGCTAACCCATTTTTGAAAACTTTTCAGGTAATAAGATATTCAAAGTCAACTTTTCTGTTAACAAAGAGCGAAAGTTTGTTGATATTCCCTGGAAACTCACCTTTCTCCCGTTTCAATAAAACTTTCTTCCGAGGAAGAAACAATGTTTTAAACACTTAAAAGTAATAATTATTTGTCAAATTGCTAAAAAAAAAGGCTTTTCTGGTAACATGACGCCGTAGTCAATTTTTGAACGGAATTGGTAGGTTATCCATTATGACGGAATTTCCCTCATATCAAAGAAAATTTTTTTCGGCTTTCGTCTCTCCAGGGTACTATTGTCATCTTACAAACAGTCCTGTTGTAAGACATTTTTGACAGCTTGAACTGCTGTCATGCTCCATGATTCCATTGTCCTCTAGCATTTTGGAAAGTGAAAGCAGATTTTTTAATCAATTGTTGATAGACCAATCAGAGACGCTCAAGATTTCCCATTACTGGATAGCAAAAACATTTTTCCAAAAAGCTTTCTATAAATGGACCCCAGCTTCTGTGGAGACCAAAAAGGACACAGTGACCAGATGGTTTCCTTTATGCCACCAGAGGTATGTAGTTAAATTTGTCAGTTGAACAGTTAATAGATATCAATGATTAACTTCGATTTAGCTAATTCCCTAATCCTTTTTACCTAATTTTGATACACATATTAGACTTTCAAATTTTGCTTTAATTCAGTTTGAACAAGATCACTGCTCCTGAATTATACGAAAGGGAAAATAACTCAAAAACTTCATGTAAAGGTGCGTCTGTAGGCTTATTCAGTGAGCCTATTTACCGACTTAAATTCCTTCAGAAGTCGGATATCACATATCGCTTAATTTGATCCTTTTTAATTTGGAAAATCAGCACCGTCTTGATGAAGACAAATTCTCGTTTTTTTTTTTCCTATTTGACCTATTTGGGTTCCGGTTTCTCTTCGATCTGAGCGGCAATTACGCGCCTTCACTGACTTCGAATAGCCGCTAAACGCAAATGTTATCATGAGGAATGCGTTACAAACAATTTAAATATCGCAGAGATCCCTAGGTAGCCTACGTATAGCCGTACCCTCCCCCTCCCCAAAGGTGAGGGAGAGGGGAGGTTACGGCTACACGTAGGGTAAAGCTACATTGCCAGAGTTTCTTTATCAACGCCACCTCGAAGTTGGTGACCAAGTTACAGGCCATACGTGCACGTGACTTATTGATTCAACAGTTTTGCATGCGGTTTTTCGGTTTTGATCCAATTTTTTTTCGGTTTTTCTATTTTGGATAATTTTTTCTACGGTTTTGCGGTTTCTAGTGGGCCCCAATGCCCCCCTCCATCAGCAACATCAACGTTCACTAAGAGCAAATTTACTTGTCCAGTGCACTGAGAAAGACTTTTACCTTCCGTTGTCTCGGTGCTTTCCTTTTTTTACGATTGCACGGCATCTGCTTTTGCTGATAGCTATTCTTATAATGATAGTTTAGTA